CCATAAAACTCTCGTTACTCGCACGCTGCTGGGGTAAGCAATTTGCTAACACTTTTACAACCCCCATGCTTTCATTTTGTGGGAGTAATCCTCTCTGTTTTCATCAGTATGTGGGGATGACAGCTGCATCTAATAATCCAACCCTGGGTCCCAGCATTTTGGGGCAACATTTCAGAACCAAAGGCACAGAAAGGGCAAGAAAATCTGTGACCGGGGTTGAAGGATGTAACAGAGGACATGGATGGAGACAGCTGGGCAAACCAAGAAAATACCCTGGGGATAAATGGCTCAGCTTATGGAAGGGGATGGGAGAAACTGGTAGAAGTGAGGTTGTACCAAGACAAAACAGCTCTGTCTCCAAGGCAAAGCAAAACAAGGTTAGGAAGGCTTTGCTGAGGGCCACCACTGACCCCCACAACATCTGCGCTTTCCCTGGGTGGCCCATCTTTATCCAGCTCCACCACTTGCCAGTTGGCTTGTCTAGCTTATTGCCCCCAGAAGGACTTTTACCAAACTTGCCAACCTTAGGATCTCAGCAGCAAAGCATCAAGGCAACCGCCCACAGCCTTCCCAAGAGGACACTAATTCCCTGCTGCCCAGCGTTCACGCTTCCCCAGCCCTCCTGCCCGTCACGGTGCCATTGCAGCCCTCCAGCAGCAGCTCTAATCCCTCCTGATGGGTCCTTGGGCCAAGAAGATGGAGACAGATCTGCCTTTGGAGAAGAAGAGCCTCTGGTCTGCCAAGAGGCAGTGAGGTCCTGTTGGGGCAGTGCATTAAGCTGTCACCCGCTGCTGGGCGTCTGGAGCATCCTCTCTGCTGTGCCCTGATTAGCATCCTCTGCCTGGCAGCAGAGGCACAGGAGATTTCACCGCACAGCACTAGCAGGAGGCAGGGCCACTTCCACTGCTCTGCCACCCAGAAGTTGGGATTTTCTTGAGGACATCTCACCTTTGGGCCAGAGCTCCCCGGCTCTGCTCCTGCAGATGGCTCAGGCAGCAACCAGCCCTCCACAGGCCCCGCAGCGCAGGAGACGGTCATGTGCTGCCAGTCTAAACCACTGCTGCCAGCAGCAGCTGCTCAGCACCTTTCAAGCAAGTCCCACTCCCCCTCTGGGAGTTGGCTCTGCCACCCCTTCCTAAACTGCAGCTGGAGCCACACAAGGCACCCCGTTCTGGGGGCTGCCTGAGCCACTCTTGCACGCCCCATGCTCCCTGCTGCGACTGCCAGCATCCCTGCTGCTGTTCGGCCAAGTCCCTCGCTTCCCCATCCCGTCCCCTCGCCCCTACACGCATTCACGTAAGCAGGAGCTGTGCCCCAGGCTCCTCACCTTGCCAAGGCGCTTGTTCTCCTGCAGCACCACACTGTGACACCCTCATGGGTCTGGCCCTGGAGGTGAGACCATAGGGAAAGTCTTCAGGCACTCAGGGGGGCCAAAGTCCCAGGCCTGGTCTGGTCCTCACTACGCCCCAGCCTGCCATTTGTTGGTGGGTACACGCTAAACAACGACCATTACCGTACGCGGTGCCACAGACCGCTGTGGAGCGAGAGCCCGTGGGAGGTCTGGCCCACCACGCCGTGCAGGAGGCTGCTAGGCAGAGGCATGGCAGAAGGAAACAAGAGGCACTGCTCACATGAAGGGCCCCTCCAGCAGCATCTCTGACCGTACCCCGCGGATGCCGTGCAGCGAGGATCGGCAGTCCTGAGGTAACGAGCTGCTGAGGTGAGGCAAGGGTCAGCATTAACAGGCTGCTGCTGCAGACAGACAAAGAAAACCTGTCCGCACAACTTCTTAGACCCCGCAAAAAGCTGTGCGGCTCTGATGCGAAAGCTATGTGCGGCTCAGAAGACAGAGCTGAGGGCCAGCTGTGAGAGGTGCTCTTTGGCCGCAGACGCTGCTGATGGGAAGAGGACGTTGGGGTGCTCAGCCAGGGACGGACCGGGACGCAGGCTGGCTCGCCGG